TTCATAGTTGGGCCTCATCTGGGCACTTCCAAACCCAATACAAAGAGAAGGAATCTGCACATCTCTCTGTAGTTCTTGTTGGTTGGCCCCAGACAGTGGCTGACTTTGCACATCCCTGGAGACCCAAAAGCCAGTATACGCACTGTTCAGTGTCAAACCATACCAGATTACAACTCTACAAATCCATAAGTGACACACTCAAGGGGCAGATTCAGTGAGCACCAAAGCCCCACTGAAGCAAGTCCTGCTCCACAGCAGCTCTCCCACTGTAGTCACAGATGGTCCTCACAGCCAATTAGTCTAGAGGTCAATTCCTCCCAGTGACACCAACAGCAATCAAGTTTCAACTACAACCAGACTGTGCTCACAGCCCACAAAGGGGTGCACTTAGAACTCCCAGCTCAGGTGACTGGGGAGTCTGACCCACTGGACTCTATAGGACACCCAGCACACAAGGCCACTCTAAAAACTCAAGGAGACATAGCAGCTCTACCCAATACATAGGGAAACAACCAAAATACAGGTACAAAGGAACATATCACAAATGAAAGAAATGAAAGAAAGCAAAATACTGGATATAGAATTCAAAATCATGGTTATTAGGTTACTCAATAATTTTCTAGAAACCTCCAAAAAATGGAAAAGGACTAGTCAGAAATTAAACATAAACTGACTGAAATAAAGAATAATATACAGGATCAAACAGTAGAGTAGTAGATTCTAAGAATCAAATCAATGATTTGCAATGTGAGGAAGCAAAAAACACCCAACTAGAAGAGCAAAAAAGAAAAAATAACCCAAAAATATGAAAATAGTGTAAGGAGCCTGTGGGAAAACTTCAAGTGTTTCAGCATTCACATTATGGGGGGGGGGGGGAGTTGCTAGAAAAAGAGAGAAAGCAAGTATTAAAAACCTATTTGAAGAAATAATGACAGAAAACTTTCCCTACCTGTTGAAAGAAATAGACTTATAAGTCCTGGAAGCACAGAGAGTCCCAAACAAGAGGAACCCAAGAGGACCACACCAAGACACATCATAATTAAAATGCCAAGAGCAAAAGACAAAGAGAGAATCTTAAAAGCAGCAAGAGAGAAGCAATTAGTTCTCTACAAAGGAATACCCATATGACTGTCAGCTGATTTCTCAAGAGAAATTATGGCCAAAAGGGTGTGGCAAGAAATATTCAAAGTGATGAAGAGCAAGAACCTACAAACAAGATTATTCTACTCAACAAAGCTCACTCAAAATTGAAGGTCAGATAAAGAGCTTCACAGACAAGAAAAAGCTAAAGTAGTCATTACCACCAAGCCAGTATTATATAAAATGTTGAAGGGTATTCTTTAAGAGGAAGAAAAAGAAAAAGATAACAAATATGAACAACAATATGACAACAAATACATACCTATCAACAACAGCATCTAAAAATAAAAATAAATGAGTAAGGAAACTAGTAATGACCAGAAACTGGTGAATAAAATAGAATCAGAGGCACGGGAATGGAACGATTCTCAGATGGAAAGGGTATGGGGGTGTGGGAAGAGATTAAACTAAGATCTTATAGGCACATATGCATTACCTATGGACACGGACAATAGGATGGAGAAGGCCTGGGTGGAGGGAGGCATAGGAGGGAGAAAAAAGAGAGACATCTGTAATAATCTCAACAATAAAGGTGTTTTTTTAAGTGCCTGAGAGGCCAAACGTTTCTGTTATGCCATTTCCACAAGAGTGGTCCCCCCAATCTCCCACCACAGTTCTCCCTGACTAGGCTGCCTCATTTCCCTTCTGCAGCTCAGGCTTCAGGACAAATGACAGCTTGACCTCCATGTGACCTTTTAACTGGTGATGGAGTAAACAATGGCGAAGTTGACTGGGTTTTGAGGAGTCGAAAGAAAATGGAAACTCAAGAACGTCAAACATGTCTTGCTCAGTGAGAGATTCAGCTCACACTTAATGTATGTGGATAAACATTCCCTTCACATGGGGCAGGGAAAACCAAATATGGAAACTCTGACAGCTGCCATATCTGCAAAAGGCAGAGGCCCTGTTGTCCTGGTTTCCTCCGAGAGATTTTTCAAGACAGAAGAGATGTTCTAGAAACTCAGATTCAAGCCAGGAAACACAACATTTATCATCCTGCAACTCTGTCCTTCTCCATCCTACCAACGCCAAGCTGGGTAATATGCATTATTCAATGACTTAAACCCTCTCAGCGCTCCATTTGGCTGTCCTACACCCTCTTAAAGCCCAGAGTCACTGTCAGAAGTCAAAGCTCATTAATGCTGGAACCTAAATTCAATGCCCTTGAGAGACAAAATGTAGTTCTAGACAAAGCCTTCCGGGCTCTGATTAATTCATCATGACTCCTGGGTTCTCACAGGCCAGGTCTCACACTCAGGGTCGCATTTGCTATGAAAAGACACTTGGTGAGGGGAGGGATCCAAAAGCGAATGAATAAAACCTGGTCAGGGCAGAAGAATCTCCTGTACTCATCAAAGACATGCAGATGCACCAGTGGTGTCTGAGAATGACCCAGCCACATGGAGTGTGTCATGAAGCCAAGGACTGCAAAGGCAATGCAAGAGCACAGTGGAGACATTCTAGACGTGGCCTTGATCTTCTCTCAGAATCATGGACTGTCAGGACTGGAGATTATTCGCTCCCATGGCCTCATTATACCAAGAGGAGAGAGATCCAGAGAGGGAAAATGAATCTGTTAAAGTCCCATAGCAGTTCTGAAATTATAACCCCAATGGCCCTTCCTCCTTCCCCCTGCTTTCCTCTCACTGTGCATGGGAAGGTCCATATACTTCCAGGTATCAGGACAAAGACTGAGAGGTAACACACCCCTGGGTAGACAGCAGGCAAAGGCACTGCTCTTCAAAGGCACTAGGAAGGCTCTGGTTTGTGCTGCTCAATGGTTAGAGAGTCAGCCGTGCACTGAAAAATCATGGGTTCTATTCCCAGTCAAGGTCACATACTGAGGTACAGGTTCAGACTCGAGCCCTCAGGTCAGGGCATCTGCAGGAGGCAATGTCTCTCCCATACAGATGTTTCTCTCTCTTTCTCTCTCCCTCCCTCCCTTCCCCACCTTCCCTTCTACTCTTTCTTAAAAAATAAAAAATAAAAAATAAAATAAAAAAATAAAAATCAATGGAAAAACTATCCTCAGGGGAGGATTAACAAAACAAAACATAAAAAGCACTTGGAAGGCCAAGTTCACTTCTGGTATCCCAACTACCACAACCCATCCTAGTTCCTACAGACCTGATCCCAAATACCTGTCCTGTCTGGGCCAAGGGGACAGAGAGCATTAGTAGGGATTTAGAATGAAAATTTTTGACATTCTCCAGGATAACGTATGAATGCCTGATACTAAACTTATACTCACATATCTTATTCCAACACACACACACACACACACACACACACTTTTCCTCTGAACCAAAGAAAAGACAGAATAATGTAGAGGAGTCCTTCGAAAGATTCATGAGCATCTGAAGCACCAAGCCCAGAGTTCTTCTTGAAATGAAAATTTTGATTCAGTAGATCTGGGCTAGCGCTCGAGATTCCACCCTTTTCACCACCTCCCACGTGACCCTGGGGCTGGTTCTGAGGCCCACACACTGCGTAGCGAGGGCAGACATTCCACAAACCTTTTTTCCTCAACATTTCCTATTCTTGGAACCAAACAAATGGGGGTTTAAATTCTGGTTTTTCCACTTAGGAGCTTTGTGATTCTTGGACTGGGTTTCCTAACCTCACACTGCCTCAACGGCCTCATCTCTAAAATGGAAACAAGATTACCTAAGAAACACCTGATGATGATTATGTAAGATAATGAGGCGAAAATTTTAACAGGCATAGTATAATAAGGGCTTGATGAATGTCCCTTGCTGGCTACCTCTAAGATTCATGAAGGCAGGGACATCTGTCTGGCTCCTTGCCAAAACCTAATGGCTAGGACATAGTAGGTGCTCAATGGATGTTTGTGAATGAGTACGTGTATCTCCAATACACCCGCCCCCGAGCTCAATATTTACACACTCCCGTGGTTTTATGGTTTTCTGTACAGAAACAAAAAGCATAGAACACCAGCACACTCTCACCAGCAACAAACCATCGTCTCATAGAATCAAATCCAACACTAACCACGCGGCATAACCACGGACAACATATCATTTGTGATGGCTCTGTGTATACTTGAGGGAGATGCCTTCACAGTAAACAAATACAGACAACATCAGTCCGAAGCCTGTACATCACGAAGAGAGATTACTGCCTCACTCATTATTTATGTGGATGTCTGAATGCAGACGTTATAGCAACTTAATTCTCAATGTAGGTTGATTTCCAAGCCAAACGTAGAATTGCAAGGACAGTCAAAACAAGCCCTGGGTAGCAAGGCTACTTTGTATAAGGCCACCGGGGCAGTAACACAGGATCTCACATATGCACACACACTGGCTCGGGAAAAATTACAGACAAAAGAACTGTTAACAAATGGGAGAGCTTAATCTTCTAAAGCAAAGGCAGACAAATGAATAGATCCAAAATTCTTCAACAATCTCAGATGATCCTCAGACATCTCATAAAGTAAGCGGCATCGTTTACACAGATCCCGTTTCAGGGAGGCACTGTGTCTGAAGCATAAAGAAGAGAATACTATTGCCACCTACAGACAGAGCCCGCACTCCCTCTGCAAGAGACGGCCAATGGTATTTCAGCGTGGGGAGGGGGGGGGGTGGAATTCAACCAAGTCACCTCCCTCAACCCCTTCCAAACCACCACGCCACATTACTTCATTTAGAATTACTTTCAAGCCATACAATCACGTCTAGTCATTCTGCCTCTTCATTATCAGCATCCTATTTCTAATTTCCCAGAAACACTGCGCCATTCAAACACCTCTTCACACACTGTTGGAGGGCCGAAGGGAATGCGAGCCAGCGGATCTCACACAGGCGAGGGCCCCTGAGTAGAAGCTTAAATCTGCTTACCAGGTATGAAGGGGACCACCCGGAATATATCGGACAACCTGCTGTTGACTGGTTCGTACGGGGAATCTTCCAGCAGATCATTTCCTAAAAACAACAGGAAGATGGGGCTCAGATCTGGAGCACAGACATATCCCAGGCCTGAATCTGAATTCTAATTATGTTATGATTGTGTAACAAAAGGATGCTGAAACTTTCAAAGACTTCAAATGCCTCTATTTGGCTCTGCTTGTTTTGTTTTGTTTTGTTTTTTCATTCCCTCTGCCTTTGTTGTCCTGGCTCTCCCCAGAGTGCCATGAAAACACAGAAGAGCAGCCCAGCCTGATTTTGCCAGAACACTCTCCCACTTCTGCAAAGGAATGAGATCAGAGAGGAAGAAACCAGTGATGTCACGTGTCTCTCTCCCCCTCCCCTCCAGGAGCCAATGGGAGACAGGTGACTCAAAGGAGGCCCCCCATTCATTCTTTTGCTCCAGAAGCATGGCATGTGGTCAGAGAGCGGGTGCCCTAGCTGTTCATCAGTCAGTGCTGGAAACTGGTTGTCATCGGTTGGTTCTGGAGGGAAGCGGTAGCTGATAGGCCAATTCTGTGTGTTACAAATTTCAGAGGTGACCTCTCCGTGGAGAGGGAACGCAGGGGATGTCTGCGTTGGGTTTACACACACGAGCCACATCTGTCAAAGTGGATGTCTGTGGGCCTTGTCCCGCTCAGAGCCGCATCCATGTTAACCAGGGTTGAACCACACCAGCTGGTCCCAGACTCAACTAATCTAAGATGACAAATGGATTTTCCCACCTCAGCCTTTGATCAGTTGGAACAGGGAATGGGGGAGGGTAGAGATAGAATAGATTCTGCAGGGCCTTTAACACTTCATTCTTTCTCTTCGGTCAGAATAGACCGAAGGACAGAATAAAGGGGGCAACTCCAGGGAGGACACAGGGCCAGTCTGAATGATTATTCTGTGAAGCCAACTCTCCTTACAGACAAGTGGCCCGTCCCTAGGGTGGCCTTGAATGGGGTCCCTCCTACTGGAAGCTCTGACCAGGTTTCAAAGATGTCAGCGGGGGTCCCCGGGGGCCCCCCTCACTCCATGATGGGTTTTCCAACAACCAGGCCCCAACAGTACAGCTGGGCAGGCAGCAACTGCCAGCTGCTGCAGCCCCTGAGGGAGGGCCCATGCAAGGTCCTCACTCTGCAGCTGGGAGGAGGGTGAGAGATGAGGTCAGCCAGACCCCGGCGAGGGGCCCAGCCAAGCCTGGAGGGTGGGGGAGGGCAGACAGGAGGTGGGCGCGTACCCTGCAGGCTCTGGTACATGCTCCAGTAGATGCGCAGGCAGTTCTTCTCCTTCTTCATGCCGCGCTTGCAGCGGCAGTTGTAAAGCGACTTCTGCTTGAGGGCCTCCATGGCGCTGCGGCACTCGTCCTTGGCCTCCAGGCCGGACGCGAGGCTGAAGTTGGTCTCCTTGCCCGCCACGCACTGCCTCAGCGTGCGGTACTTGGTGCTGCAGCTCTGCTCCTTCAGGCACTGGTCGCTGGCTTTCACGCAGTCCAGGCGGTCGCCGCCGCTCACCTCCGCCGACAGCAGCACGTCTGGGGGGCAGGGGGAGGATGGGGGAGGCGTGAGCGCGGCCAGGCGGGACCGGGGTCCCACCCCCGGGAGGGCGCGAGCCGGACCAGGCTCTGGGGCGCCCTGCGGGGGGAGCCCCCACCACACCCGGGAGCCCGCTCTCCCGCCCTGGGACCTCCTGTTGCCCGGGTCTCCCCCGACCCGGTCCCGCCCTCCAAGACCCAGAGGCTTTGCAGGCTTTTCGGGGTGCCGGCCCCGCAGCCCCGGGCAGACCGGCCCCAGCCCTGGAGCCGGGGGATGGGGAGCGGGGGGGAGGGGGGAGAGCAGGAGCGGCGGGCACCCGGCCCCGCGGCCCGCCCGGCGGGGAGCACGGGGATGCTTGCTGCTCCGGGAAAAAGTTTTCCTCCCAAGTTTGTCTCCCGGCCCCGTGCACGCCTCCACCCCACCTGCCCGCCGCGCCCCTGCGAGCTCCCCGGGACGTCCCGGGGTGGCGGGTCCCAGGCGGGAGGGCACCCCTTTATTCCACCAAGGCCAGGCCATGGGAACCACAGGCATTCAGGACCCAGCACGGGCGGCTGCGGGCCGGTGCGCGCCGACACCCCTCCCCAGCCTGGGGCGCCGGAGATCCCAGGAGCCCCCTCCCCAAAACGGAACTTGCCTTCCCCCATCCCCCGCCACACACATACACCCACATCCCGCACCCCGCGCCCGAGGACCCCGGGGGAGACCCCGCGGGCCGGACGCCGGCGGCAGCCTCGACTTACCCAGCAGCGGCAGCGCCAAGTACAGCGTCGCCAGGAACATGGTGCCGGCGCGCGGCTGGTCCCCTTCGCCGAGAACGCCGACCGCCGTCCGGTCCGGGGCTCAGCAGGCAGCGGTGCCCGGGCGCCCCGCGGCCAGCTCCATCCAGGGGCTCCGCCGTCTGCCGGGCGCCGGGGCGGGGGCTCGGGGCTGGGGGCTCGGGGCTCGGGGCTGGGGGCTCGGTCCGGTCCGGCCGCCTGGAAGGAGGGAGAGGCGCTGTGCAATGAGCCCGAGCTCTCCTCTCCCCGGAGCCACCGCCGCCGCTCCGCCTCCTCCGCTCCCGCCGGGCGGACTCTCCGGACGGAGCCCGGCGCGGGGCCCACCCTCCGCGGTCCGGGCGCCGGGAGGGGGCGCGGGGGGGGGGGCGTGCGTTCCGGGGAGCCTCCCGCACCCGCGGAGGAGGGGCTCAGAGGTCGGACGCGGCTCCCAAAGTCCAAGGGGAGTCTATCGGGTCCAAGGCTGGGCGCCGGCGGATCAATAAGAAACGTTACTTTCCCGGCGCGGAGCGCGGAGCGGATCCCGGCGGCGGCGGCTCTCCCGGCGCGGAAAGCCCCTGCGCCCGGGAAGTTGGCCGCCCCCTCCCCGCGCCGGCTCCTGGCTCCAGAGCCAGCCCTCCCCACCCCAGCCACCAATCGCCGCCCCCATCGCCGTGTCCCCTCCTCCACACACACTCCCCTCCACCCCGGATCGCTTTCTTTCCGAGGCAACCCGGCGAGGGGGAACCGGCGTCCGGGCGGGAGCTGAGATCCGGCCGGTGCCCCACCCGGCGCGTCCTGGGCGCCCTCCCCGGCGCCGCGCACAGCAGCCCCGCGCCCCGGACCCGGTGCGATCGGGGCCACCAGCCCGGGCGGGCGCAGCGCCCGCAGCCCCGGAGCCCGGAGCGGAGCGCAGGGCAGGTGCAGCCCCGCGCACACCCGCGAGCCCCAAAGTTGAGGGACGCCAGCCAGAGGGGGAGAGGGGTGTGGAGGAAAGAGGGTGGGGGGGGGGGGTAGCGATAGGTCCCCAAACGGACAGAACGAGAAAACTCTCCAAACGCCACCAACCTGGACTCAGTGGAACCGTGTCCAGCTGCAGCAAGGCCCCCGTGTATTTATTTCAGGGGGTGTCCCCGCCCCCTCCGCCCCTTTCCGGGCTCCCTGGTCCGCGTTGGGAGGAAAGATGCGGTCATCGCCGCGATCTCAGCGGATCTGGCGGGGCCAGAAGGGTTTCCGGGCAGAGCCCCCTAGGGCTCCGACGCTGGCTGGGGATCTCAGCGGTGCCCGGGAGCTGCTCCGGAGATGGCAGGTTCGGAACCCGGATTTCTTTGCCAAGGGCCCCCCGGCCTGCTCCTGCTCCTGCTCCCTCCGGACCGTGCCCCCTCGGTACCCGCCCGCGGGGACCCGCAGAGGAGCACACCCGCTGGCGGTGGGACCCGGGGACCGACCCAGCCTGCGCGCTCCGAGCACACAGCGCCCTGCAGCCGGCTGCTGCGAGCTCTCCTCTCTCTCTCTCTCTCTCTCTCTCTCTCTCTCTCTCTCTCTCTCTCAGCCGGCTGCTGCGAGCTCTCTCTCTCTCTCTCTCTCTCTCTCTCTCTCTCTCTCTCTCACACACACACACACACACACACACACACGCTCTTTCGCCCTACTGCGATCAAACCAGACCTTTCTTCCCGACACAAAGTTTTCCCCCAGGTCCCTCGCGGCTGTGACTCCAGACTTGGCGCGTCAAAGACACACTCGGACCCCGGCCCTGCGAGCCGGGATGGCTGGAGGCACCCACCCACTCGTGCAAGGCAACGCACACACTCACACACACTCACACTCACTCACACTCACGCAGGCACACACAGCCTCTCGCCCTGGGTCCTGGGGCTTGAACAAGGAGACAAAGCAGAATCCGGTGCATCTAAAGCCCCTGGGACTGGCTTTGGGGAATGTTATCAGCGGACTTCCGTGTTGGCTGTTTCAAGAATAAATGTTAAAATGATTCATTTAAAAGCCCAATCCTTCATTCACCCCAATCCCTGGGACCTCTCTCTCAGTCTAGTTCCCCTCTCCCCTCTTGCCCCCCCCCCATGCTCCCCTCCCCGCATGCTCAGGGGGGTCCCCGGGCACCGAATCTACATGAGGTCTAGACAGGAGTCTGGGGAGCAGCCTACAGTGCTGGGTGGCGGTCCTGATGCTCAGGGCTAGCACTGGAGATCCCTGATGATGTCCAAGTTCCTATCTCTGGGAAACCCAGTTTGAATCGAGTCTGGGAGAGCCCAGCTGTCAGATCCGCAAACCCATCCCAGCAGACAATGGGCTGCGGAGCAGAGAAAAGGAGCGCTCCTGGTGATGGAGGGGGGTTAATTGAAAAGGGCAAGGGCTTCGGTTGAAGTTGGAGGCTGGGGTGTAAGGGCAGGAGATGAGGAGGAGGGAAGAGGCGGGATGCTTCGCTCTCCATTCAACTGCACCTCAGCCAGGCGCGCCCCGCAGCTGCCGCAGCGGCTCCAGTGTGTGCAGTGTGTTGTTGGGGAGGGAGGGTGTGTGCGTCTCGGTGCGCGCCCCCCAACCCCAGGCCGACCCCAGGGTCTATGCTCTTATGCGCGCGCGTTCCTCTGCGGCAGGGATGGGGAGATTGATGTCCTTACCCAGCACCAGCGCCCCCCACCCCCACACTCACACACAGTTGCACCATACGTGGATGTTTCTTCAGTGTATCAGTTGACATTTGGTTTTGAGTAAACAAAGCAGACATATGCCACATTTTCTGGACAGATGGTTCAGACCAGTGGCCACTTAAGTCCTCTTTCCCTGGCGGTGGTATCAGGCTAAGTGACAGGGTGGACTGAGCGGGAAAGTCATTAAATCTTGCGACCAGTTTCTTCACTTCAAACAAGCTTCTTTCCAAATGTTCACACACAAGCTAGAGAAGTCCCAGGGAGATGGTTTCCGTGAGAGAAGCATGGAATTAACGGTTCATCTGAAAAGTGTATTTCTTCATGGACACCCCAACATAAAACCCTCCTCTTCCGTTTTTCCATTTTACAAGTGGAGGTGAACGTCTCAATGTCCGATGGATGGATTAGTGTCTGTCATCCCTGAACACGTGTGATTTAATGGAATACAATTTCATTTAAGGACATCAACCACATGTTTTGTGTCCTTTGTTGAGAAGGGACTTTGTGTTGCCATAATATCCCACAGGCATCTTTTAAATCAGCATTGAGGAGGGTGAAATAAAAGTTCTCCAAAGGTAAAATATGAGACTCCTTTTAAAATATTTATAATTTCAAAAATATTTCAGGACCATTCACACACAATAGTCCTCATTACATTCTTACTGATGATGAACACAGAGCGATTTTTTTTCTGAAAACTTTTTAATTTTTTAAAAAATAAATCATCAGCCACTGTAACCGTGTCACCAGACAGATGACTATTTCAATAAAATCAATTCAAATAGAGAAACTTGCTGTGTTTCAAGTGCTCAATAGCCACACTGGGCAGCCCAAACAGTATATCCATAGAACATGCCCATCATTGCAGGAGGTTTCTACCTCCTGAGCAGAGCTGCGCACAAAAAACAGCCACCCCTGGCCAGTGGTTGGTTGAGCATTGACCTATGAACCAGGAGTTCATGGTTGGATTCCACCATATGGCACATGCCCAGCTTGTGGTCTCCATCCCCAGTGGAGGGCGTAGAGGAAACAGCTGATCAATGGTTCTCTCTCATTGATGTTTCTCTCTCTCTCTCTCTCTCTCTCTCTCTCTCTCTCTCTCTCTCTCTCTCTCTCCCTCCCTCTCCCTCTCTGAAGTCAATAAAGATATATATTTTCTTTAAATGTTAAAAAACAACAACAACAAAATGTGGCTCGTACTCTACCCTAACAATTTGTATAGTAGGAGCTAATAAGAAAAGAATCACTGCTTTACAACTATATCCACTATGTTCTAAAGGTGGAAGACTGGAATAGAAAGATAGACAGTATAAACTTACTGTATTAAGATTATCTCTGTTTCCTCGGAGCTAATCTGTTCCCAGGTGCATGAGGTTGATCTCAGGATAAAAGGTGATGTTGGAATATCTAACAGTACTAATAATTATAAAAATCCATGCCACCTTCTGGGACATGTTTTCTCGGTGAGAAATGGGGTTTAATGCTACCGAATTAGCGTCAATCCATCCGTAAGCATGTGAAGTGAGCAATGTCCTTGCACTTCTTGACGTGAGTGTATTTCCATAAGTTAACAGATGAGTCATGGTGAGAATGACAGTTTTATTCCACACGATATTTTGTCTCCTGCTTTCATTGCCTTCGCCTTATAACTATAATGCAAAATACATTCATTTTGCAAAATTACACTGCTCAAAAATCACTCAGGTTTCTGACGCAAACTAGTTCATCAAAGTATTTGACATTAGACAATTTAACAAGCCTTCCTCTGCAGCTATACAAAACCACTTACTATTACCTAAAAGTGCACTGCTTCTCCTCTCTGCTGTTATTTCTTTGCGCATGCTGTTCCATCTGCCTACTGTGCCCTTCATCCTGATATTTGAAGATCCAGCTGAGCTCGCATGAGCCACGAAGGAAAGCAGAGACTCCTTGGGTCAGAAAGGATAGTCCTCAGCATTGGGCTCTCGTGGGCCCATTAGAATCTTCATCCCAGCTGTTGTCACACTGCATTGCAGCCACTTGCTATATCTGTCTCTCCTGCTGGAATGGGAGTTCCTTGAAGGCAGGAGATGTTCTTTTGTTGTCTCTTGAAGCCACAGCATTTAGACCGATGACGGATCCACAGTCACCCCAATAAATGTATATTGATTGCCTGGATAATGAGTGACGATGTTTCTCATTTTCCTCTGACACAATCATTCCACTGAAAGGTTTACATCAATCCTCTCTGCTATAGGAACAAGACTAAATATAAGTACCTCCTGCAATTACTGGTATCCCCAGTTCCAACCGTACTATCAAATATGTATTATTCCTTTGGGGACTTGACATTTACATTTTTTTAAACAAAACCCATTATTGTAATAGAATGCTCTCTCACCGATTCTCTTTAATAGGAGCAGATGACATATTTCATTTCTGGGAAATGATAGCTTGCCTTAGGTCATGTTTTAAGGCATAAAGCCAGAGGCAGAGTAACATTCCCACCT